GAAATGAAGGACCGGGCTAGGCGGCATCTCGGCAAAGCCTAGCCCGGGCTCCTCCTTTGGTCGGCCTTCTCGCCGGTCAGTCAGCTCCCTCGGCTGACCGCGCCTTTCCGAGCGCCGGTCTCTCGGTCTGTCTGGTTTCGACCATCCTCGGACCGAGCATCCTGGTCTGACCGGTCACTTCCTGGCCGAGCAGCTTCTGCACGGTCCGGGGCAGCACACACTCAGTCCAAACTCTGCCCGGCCCAAGTTCTGGTAGCCCATCTCCGGGTGAACAGTCGATCATCTCGGCCCAATGCTCTGCTGGGCCCTCAACTTGCTCGGTCTATACCTCGGCCCAACACCGGATCATAAATCACCCTCTCAATGACATACAAGTAATTACGAGATCTCGTTAGCCACTTCATTGTGGTGATATGTGTTTAATCGGTATCCCGAACCGGTTACTCTAGTTGGAAGACATTCTGTGATGTGTTCTATGGAATGTACCATTATTATGTTATGATATGAGAATGATTATGCTATGATCTGTTTTCTGCTTATGACATGTTCGGATTTCGTTCACTAACCTCTTTACCTTAATGTTATTCATTGGGCTTTAGCTCACTATTTGTATACATATATGTATAGGTGAGCATTCTGGAGTTCAAGTCTGGAGACCATTTGTCTGGATCTGTGTTCTGTTGTCAGCCAGCCATTGTGCCTCACGTGGAGGTTCTCGAAGTGTCCTGTGTTCAAGTTTTGTTGGTCCTGTGTATCTATATGACTTGATGTAATTCTGTTGGCTGTACTTCAGATACTTTAATGTGTGTGGGTATAATGTATGATTGACTTTTGATTATGTATATAAAGTTTTAAATATTTTATTTCATATAAGTCAGCACAGCTCATTGGACAACTATATTTATGTATTTGCGTCCGCTAGCCCCTTATTATATGCTTATCTGTTCAAAGGCCTTCGGTAATCCAAGGATTACTGGCCGGTTACGATGCTAAACCTATGGGGGCGGGTTTGGGTCGTGACACTATTGGCACCATACGTCCATAACCATGTTTATATCAGCAACATTTACATGAAAAAAAGCAATACCTGCTCAAAATGAAGGAACCCCCCATAACATAATTCTGCTTCAAAACCTTCGGGGCCATATAGTATGGACTTCCCACAATCTTTGAAAAGTTCTCCCCTGAATGAAGATGTAAAAGAAGTTTAAAAAATCATCAAAGAACCCACTCACACCCCATAACATTCTCAACTAAAATATTCAAAGTGACCAATTAAATCAAGAATAACAAATGCAGGGAAATAATCAAAAGAATGTCTAATCATTGCCCAAAACATACACCAAATGCATGGAAATAAAGAACTTTGGGTTCTTTTGCTTAATGCCCAAAACAACAGTCAAATGAAAACATACACCAAGGAAAGGAAAAATGAAAATATATATTGGCCAGCAAAAAAGAATAAAAGGCATGAAAGAGAATGTGCTCAGACTTCACCATTCAAAAATCCATGCATAACACAATCCTAGTGAAACATAACATGACGAAAGATATAAAGGAAGACATCACACCAAGGAAAGATGTTTGTGGGTAAATGTTAGCACCAATTTACAAAACTCATCCATGTCATGACGGGTATAATTAACCAGTAATCAGGGAAAGATCCATCTAAAATGCTTAGAAATTTGATTATCTACAGAGGCCTCTTAAATGCTCAGATGAAAAATCCAAAATGGAAAAATCCATTAATAGTACTGTAACCCATATGAAAATCAACCAAAATTTCCCAAAATTTCAGTAATTTTTTAATAAAAAAAAAACACTAAGGATAGAGAAAAGTGATTGATAACATGCTGGTTATTAAGTGAGGATCGAGAAAAGTGAAAAATATAAGGAATAAAAAATGCAAACATGATCTCTGGCTATTAGAGAGAGAAGGGAGGTTAACCAATGACCCATACCTAAAAATAATCTCAAAACACATACAAAGTTTGAATTATCCATCACGAAAATATAATTCTAATTACTTTCACATAATTCAACATATTACTAAAACCGACATCGAAAAATTGTTTGTAGTATGATGTGTTTTTGTGCTCGAAACTTTGGTACAAAAATTATGCTAAATAAACACACACAAAAAAATGTGGACAAAAGAACAATGCATACAACAACACACCTATAAAAAGAACACACATACAACAACACGCATAAGAGAGAGTAAGACATGAATTGGAACTAATTAAAAGGAAGCTACCATCCATCTGTTGAACCTCAAACATCCAAGTAGATCATTTTCAGAGAACTTGATTTTTTTAACACAAAAAATAAAATAAAATAAAATAAAATAAATACAAAGTGAACAGCCGAAACAAAAAAGGAGAAGCCATCAATTACCAAGAATTTACCCACAACATTTAAGAGGGCACTTCACCAACATTAAAGGTTGAAAGTGAAACCACATTCTTCTTCACTTATGAGGTATCATTATACATAATCATCCAATTAAAAGTACAAAGCACGTTTAAACTACTTCAAGCATAAAGTAAGTTTATGTCATCACTCATTACTCCAGGATGACTAACTAATAGCATAGATGGTCTACTGAATTAATTTAGTTCCAAAACCAAATATTTGAAGAAAAAAAAAAGGCCAATTGGCTTAAAACTGGCTTTTGTTACTCTAGACCTCTTTACTATTTTTTTTTTTTTTTTTACAAATTCTTTCTAGACCTCATTGAGCCAATCTCAACATTATTTAGAGTCTTCAAAATAACTGGCAAAGTTGAAAGTAAATTTATTTATTTATTTATTTTAATCACAACTTACAATCCTCACTCTGAAAGAAAAATAAAAAAATGGGTGGAGAAAAAAAAAAAAGAGGAAGAAAAGAAAGAATAGGCTTAGCTCCTGTAAAAAATAACAAACGATTTTCACCCAATGAAACTAAAATATATTAAGTTAAGAGTCACTGGGGTAAAGGGAAGGAAAGTTTTTTTTTACTCCAACCCATTCAATCAAAATTTTAATTTATTACAATCCCATTTGTTTGTCACATCTATTTTAAAATGAATACACAATTGTGTCTACAGTGTCTAAATTTTAATTGATTATAAGCACTCGTAGAGTTATAGGGTGTGAAAAAGTAATAGGCAAAGTTATTTTATTGAATCAACATAATCTAAATTTCTCTTCCACCCCCAAAAAAGAAACTCAATAAATAAGCTTCTAGTTCCCCAAAAAAAGATCCAAAATTGTGAAGGAAAAAAAAAAGGTCACATTTATTTTAAAATGAATATACAATTGTGCCTACAGTGTCTAAATTTTAAAATGAAAATTTTAATTGATTAGAAGCACTGGTAGAGTTATAGGGTGTCAAAAAAGTAATAGGCAAATTTATTTCTTGAAACTCCCCCCAAAAAAGAATATACAAAGTTATTTCTCTTCCACCCCCAAAAAAGAAAATAAATAAACTTCTATTTCCCCAAACAAAGATCCCAAATTGTGAAGAAGAAAAAAAAAGACTCACTTGTTCAATGGGCCGCTGTGCCATTGCTCTCCATTTCTTGAAACATTCACTAATAGACCCACACAATACTTCCATTCATTATATAACTTGAATTTTTCAAGTCTAATCAAAACAAAGTAAAACATCTTGTTTTTGAAAAACCATATAATCAAATATAAAGGCATTCTAAAATAGAAGACCCAAATTATCACCATAAAAAAATCAAGTACTTGCTCTTCTTGGTTCTGAACCTAGCTAATAATCCAGAAGATAGCCAACATGTAAAATAAATCCTAGTTGAACAAAATTTAAGATTCTTAATTTTCACATGTAAGATGAAGCCAAGTTGCACAATAGATAAGAAACAAATTACCTAATCAACCATTACAGCAAACAAAGCCATAACAACTTTTTACGAGCTAATCAAACACTTTCGCCAAGGCATATGTACCTGAAGCAAAAGGAAGAATAGAAAATATAGTAAGCAAACTCCATTATACATTATCCAAAATCAACTCACTAAAAATTGCCCATTGTTTGTTATTAAAAATAAGATCCAACTCCCACTGTTTGATTAATAAGATCCAACTCCCACTGTTTGATTCACCAATTTGAATATACTTTTATTTTTGTTAACCTTACCAAGAAAATGATAGATTCACTCACTATTTATTTTTTTATTTTTTTTGGGGGGGGGGGGGGGGATGTAGAATAAACTATAAGATAACTTTGATCAATTATTAGGACATCCACATTACCAGCACTAAGTGCATTTAAGCATTGTTAATCAAACTCTCTATAGGAAAGGTTGTTTAGTCATTTACTTGGCCTGTCATGACAGATTCATTCACCATTTGAACAACAAAAAAATATAATTATATAAGCAGTTGGTTTAACCAAAAGAAAATAAACTATTTTAATTGAGGCATTTTACAGAACATCCAAAATTTGACCATTAAAAACAACCGCCACAACTTTCTAGTAAAATTTGCAATTAGTTACCTGACCAAAGCTAATGATCAAGAGGATAATCAACAATTTTATAGCAAGACTGAATGCTTATGTGAATCTGAAAGGTTCAGCTAAACGCAAGTAAAGAAATTAAGAACAAAATAAAAATACTTGGCCTGTCATGATAGATTCACTCCAAAATAACAATCAAGAACATCAGCCCTTGTCCCAGAAATTTCATTTTCTTTACTTTGGCCGCTACTTTCTCGGCAATCAAACAGGACTGAAATATTTTTTTAGAACTACGTCTAATAAAAAGAATGTTTCTGTGCTGATAAATAAATAAAAAAAACCCCAAATAAAAGAGGGGGGAGTGAGAGAGAGAGGAGGCAAAGATTGAATATCATAACAAAATCCAAAACCCAAATAAAAACCCTAGATTCTTCCAAAAAAATAAAAGAAAAGAAAACAACAGGGAGGATAGCTTTCTACCTTGGAGTTGTGTAGAGAGAGAGGAGGTAGAGATTGAGGCAGATGGTAGAAATCACCCCCTCTCAGTGGGGCTATATTCCAGAAATCACCATAGGAGATCAAACTTGTAGAGAAAGAAAGCTTGGTGGGAAGAGGAAGAGGAAGATAATGGAGTTTCAAATTTTGAAATCAAAATCAGAGAGAGAAAGAGTGAAGATGTCTATGTGATTCAATTCTTCTTGATGGTGAGAATTTGATGGTGAGAATTGAAGAGCTAAATGTAAAACTGATATGAAGAATTGATATTCACTCAAAAAATCTGAACCATTGAAATGTCCAAATACGACAAAGGAGAGTGAGATATTTTCAACTATTGGATTGAATCAATTTGATGGTGCTTATTTTGACAAATAGACGGAAGTCTTCCTTATCATAGAAGATTGCATTCATATTGTGCATGGCATCACACAAATAATTAAAAAATAATAATAATTTTAAATAATAATTTAAAATAATTTAAAATGTAGAGATAAAAGAGATTTAAAATCAAATAAATTTGAATTATTTTCATAATATTTACAATTATTATTATTTTAGTCTTGTCATCAATGGTGTATTCTGCTTATTAAAAACAAAAATGTATAGTAAAACATAAAGGCAAAAAATAGAATAAATTATAAAAATTGCACTTACGGTAAAATAGAATAAATCATGTCATGAAATTTTGCAATTGTAGCTTATTTTATGTTCATCCAATAAGATAGCACATCTGTGTCAATTAACTTTTATTCTTTATCTTCTTTGTGAAACTGAATAAAAATAGTTAACATTAAAATTAATTTATAGAATAAAATAGCAAAGAAAACAAAGGGAATAGTTCTTTTCTCAATTACCTCTCAAATTAATTTTTACCTTGTTAAGTACAACTGTAAGATCTCTCCTCAAATGGATCAATTATAATTAAGTCAACCATTAAAAATAAAAATCAAAGCTCAAATTTGAGCTAGGCTAATCTAGCACTTAGCCAACCCCAAAACTATTCTCCACCATTAAGACCAATATTTTCTTAATACATATTTAGTTTTCATATTATAAAAAATTAATACCTCTTCAACTATTTACGAATCAACTTATCCCATAAAATAATTGTTCTTAGTGTATACCCACTAAAACAATTCTCATTGTTTAAATTATATGCCACTTTTAAAATTAATCTATTAAATAAATAAATAAAAACATATTTGCATATAAAATAATGTAAATGAGTTAGTCCACATTAGATGATGAAGTCTATTGATGAAAACTCTAGTCAAGGGTTATTTTTTATTTTTTAACCAAATTATTTAGACTGCATAAGTTATTCAACTACAGATAATATTAGATGATGAAATCTATTATGATTACCTTAAGGAAAGTTTTCACACTTCATATGTAGATTTTTAAAATGAGTAATATTATGTGACCATATTTTGATATCAAATTTTGGTACCATGTATTATCATGCCTCACATCTTTGATGTGTGTCACATGACACATGTAAGTATTATCTTTATGACGTTATATCAAATACTGCCAAATACGATCACCATAATATTACTAGATTTCATATTTTAAATTTTAAAATTTTCAACTTTCAAACGACATGTGGATTATATAGCTTGATGTGCCAATAGTTTTATGCCAAATATATTTCTTCACTTTTAAAATTTTATTTTAAAAAAACTTTGTAATTTGAACCAAAAAAAAAAAGAAAAAAAGAACTCTGTATAATAAAATTTAAAAATTAATATTGATAGGTTATGATCAATATGTCATGGATTTATGTTTACTATTATGCTATAAACAAACTAAATTTGGTGAAATAGTATTGTGTTTTATTGTTATTATAGTTTAAAATTCTGATTTGTTTTTCATATCAATATCATAAAAGAACCATACATTTAACAATTTGAAAGATGATTATTATGAAATTTGAAATATATTACCATAATAATTATAATTAAAGTGAAATAACCAATGAATTTATGACATATGTATTTTTGTATTTTATTATTTAAAAAATATTTAAAAATTTTGGTTAGAAGTTTCAAATTTATTGATCCAATAATATTTTTATATAACAGAATAGATAGAAGTACACATAGATATAGATTTCATGCCACAATCATTGAAACTAAAAATAATAATTACATCATTGCATGTTTTAAAATCGCAAAATTTAAGGAAATAACGCTAATATATTATTGGCAATGATTAATAAGATTTAAAAATTAACCAACAATTTTTTATATAATATTATAGATAAAAGTATAGATGTAGATATATATTTCATACCATAACCATTAAACTAAAAATAGTAATTACATTACTGCAGGTTTTGAAATCACAAAATTTAAGAAAATAATACTAATATATTATTGGCAATGATTAAGAGGATTTAAAAATTAACTTAATTTATGTAAAGTAGATTTTAGAATAATTACAAAATGTGTATTTTAAGTGTTAAAAAAAATTTTAAAATGAGAAAATTATATTGAGATTTTTAACCTCAAAGAGACCATAATTTTTTTGCTTATATGATATAATTTTAATATCTATACAATATATAATATATTTTAAATTATAAATATCATTTTTAAATTTTTATTATTAAGTTTTAATATTATTGTACGGGGGCGAAATATCCTTTGCTTTCCGTACTCCTTGTACTCTAAGCTTCTCTTGACAGCGTCTACCTGGCAACACAGAAACGGTGAGCTGCCCGGCGGTGGTGTGCCGGATAGACCCTCCGACGATCAAGTCAGTCCACTTGAGGAAGAAGAAGAAGACTGAGAGAGAGAGTATTCTTTTTGGGGAAGAAGTTGCATACCTCTAACGTTTGTCTTCCTTCCTCTTTTAAGGCTGGCCATGCAGCCTCAAGATTATGCGCGCACTACCTCTGCTGTCCTTCCCAAGACATGTGGCAGTGCTCGCCTCTCACCACCTTACGCGTGTAAAGGCTTAGTCCTCCCACCAGTACATGCAGAACTGTCTAACGGTATTGAGGCATGTGTGGAGCAGATGTCCCTTCCCTCGTGCCATTGGCCCAGGTGGCACACCTGACTGCAGTACCACGACCGGCTTATCTCCCACGAAGAACTATCACTACAGGCGCTCAACCGCACTATGCCCCACCGGACTGCCCCTTGGCAAAGGGGCGGTGGGGTGATGCTCATGGATCGGGCAGGTATTGACCGGTTTATCGCGGCATACTAGTCGCGAGGCACGCCGGCCTCCGTCCGTTCTACCTTCATCCGAGGTTATCTTGAATCTTCCCATCTCGGCTCACCAGTCAGAGACGTGCCATCCCTCCCTTGTCCACAGTTTAGCCCGAGCTATCCGTAGCTCGGTCTCGCCACTTAGCTATGTGCACCACCGAATGTTTGCTAGTCGCAGCTCGGCCAGGCTTAGTTCCCGCCCGGTCAGCCGATCCTTTAGACCGAGCAAAACAAACCCGTCCAATCTCTGCTCGGCCGTACTAACGGCGCAAATCTCCCCTCTCAATTGCCCCTTAACCCCATCCGACCTGGTCGTGACTGGGGTTACCATCGTGACCGAGCTAATGGATTGAGTTGCACCATCACCAAGCCGAGCATGATTAGGGGCAAATCTGTCGCCGAGCTGTCCCATTTGGTCGGCCATTTCCTCCGCAGTCTCATCAAAGGTCGTACAACTGTACTGACAGCCGCGTTTCCAGTGCCACGTGGCTTCACACCACTGGGTCGTACAGCCAGCTGTTCTGCACGCGCAAAATTCAAACGGCGCAGCCGTTTGGGGTTCCTTCTCCCCTCTTTTGTATTCCAACGAAGGGCCTAAAACCCTTCACTTTTCACCTTCTCTTCCACACAAGCCCTAAACCTCCCAAGCTTTCGAACCACTGCCATTGCTGTTTCTGTGCCATATCCCCCATTTCAAATCCTTTCGAAGGCCATAATCGAGCTCTCGAGGTCGCGTTCACCCTCACACCTGTCCTTCTGGTAAGTCACACTACCCTCCCTTACATCTCTTGCTTCTACTTCTCAAAGTTTTTCCATACATGTTTTTCATTCCCGTGTCACTATGCTTCGTATTTTTGTTTATTTTCGGGGCCATTAGAGTTGCTTTCCCTTGCTTAGATCTTGCACACCCTAGGGCAAACAAGAATAGTAAGGATGGATGGGGCTTTCATACCCTTTGTTTCTCTTGGGTTCGAATGAGTTCGTCCTATCTCTGGGATGAACAGTTTGAATCTGGGTAGAACCGAGCAAAACGCTCGTTTAGATCCATAAATGACACATCGGCCGAGCAAAAACTGGTTTGTGACTTCTCGTAGAGGTTGTAGCCAAGCCAAACTACCGATTAAAACTTGGTAATAGTACTGAACCGGGCGAAAACTAGAGCTCGTTACTTGGGCCTTGACCGAGTTAACTCGTCAAGTAGAAACGACCGAGCTATAACTTTGACCGAGCCAGCTTCGAAGAGTTAGAACCGAACTAGGAAATCGACCAAGTAGCATACCCGAGGTAGGGGTCGAACCGGCCAAACACCAATAATCCCTTCATTGAGCCAATTCCCATAGGGGCCGTGCAATTTATGCTGTGCTAACCCTTGGAATTATTTTTTAACAATGCAGAACAAATAGGACCGACCAAGCCAGTCCAGCACTAACTGGTGGAGCTCAGAGTCCGAGTAGACCCACCAACATTTTTGACCGAGATATACACTATATCAAATAAGACCGAGATAGATGGGGAAGTACCGCTATATGGTTAGCTCGCCCGGTGCGATGGCCGAGTTTCGCAGGGATTACAACATCCCAGATGACATCATCTTAGAGCTCGCCAAAAAGGGAGATACCCCATGGGGAGATCTAGACCGGTGCCCCTTTACGGTCGTGTCAATGGTAGAGGGAGGGCTCCGCTTCCCGGTCCAGCCTTTGATCTGTGAGTTTTTGAGGCAGACAAGGCTTTGCCCGACCCAAGTTTCAAATAACACTTACAAAATAATAAACGGGGTCACCGAACTGAACCGGAGGCTCGGTCTCAATCTCGGTCTGGCTGAAATTTTCCATCAGTATAGTCTTAGTAGAAATAAGAGCGGGTTTTGCTGGTACCTCAAAGTGAAGAAGGGCCGAGCAAAATTAATAGAGGGTAACCCGGACAAGGAGACCAACGACGACGACTTCCTGTGGGTGTCCGGTCGCTA